TGCACTGTTAAACACTTTTACAATTTAACCTCACACACAAACATTATCCTCTGGAGAGTGAAATTTTAATGTATATGTATACCAATTTCTTTGCTCATTAGCACATGAAATTTGATGGTTGAGCAATTTTTTCTTATTCCTAATATAAGCAATTTTGGTTTCAATTTCACTTAGAGTTACTTTTTGTAGAAAATATATATTACTGCAAAACAAACAAAGAAACCAAACTAGGCTGTGGTTTTAAATTTGTCCCAATGTCTATCCCATTTGTATTTCTAAGTGAGGATTGATCATCTTACACTGGGTCCTCTTTCTTGTTTATCTTCTTTAGGTGTACAGATTTTGGTAGGAAGTAGGAGAAAACAAGTAACAGGACAGGAGCCTACCACAGAGGACCTCTGAAAGACTCTACATAGCAGTGTATCAAAGCAGATGCTGAGACTGATAACCAAGCCTTTGGCAGAGTGCAGGGAATCATATGAAAGAAGGGGGAGTTAGTATGTCCTGGAAAGGACAGGAACGCCACAAGGACCAAATATATCTGGGCATAGGGTCTTTTTATGAGACTGTTTCTAACCAAGGACCATGTATAGATATAACCTAGAACCCCTGCTCAGATGTAGCCTGTGGTAGCTCAGTATCCAAGTGAGCATCCTAGTAAGGAGAACAGGGACTATTTCTGAAATAAACTCAATGGTTGGCTCTTTGACCTCCCGCCACACACACACACCCTGAGGGCGGAGCAATCTTGCTAGGCCACAGAGGAGGACTCTGTAGCCAGTTCTGAAGAAACTTGATAAGCTAGGGTCAGATGGAAGGGGAAGACAACCTCCCCTATCAGTGGACTTGGAAAGGGACAGGGAGGAGATGAGGGAGGGAGGATCGGACTGGGAGGGAATGAGGGAGCAGGCTACAACTGGGATACAACGTTAATAAACTGTGACTAATATTAAAAAATAAAAATTAAAAAAAATTGTTCTAGTGGATCTGAATACTGCTGAGAAATTTTGTTTTCTCCTACTCAGTGTTTCAGGAATGTGGCATCATTTGCCTGTTTCCTGTATCTTTGTAGAAGCCCTTATCTCTCCTCACTTCCTCTCAGCAATGATTTGCCTGCTTCTCCAAGCTTGCCTGGTCTTGATGTTGAATATTGTGCCTGACCAATTATTAATTTATAACAGCTTTTTAAAGAAAATTTCCTTAAAAATTTGGTGTTATTATTGAAACTTATCTAGTATTACTTTAGCATTTATTTCAACCTGATTAAAAATTTTAGGTTATACTTTAGCATTTTCAATTTCAAAATTGATTATAATGCAAAGATTGTTGTGACACTCAAAAATAGTTATATCCAGTTTAAAAATAGTATTATGAGAAAGAATCAATGTCTTTCTGATTTTAAAAGCAGATTCATAATAGTACTAGTTAATTTTTTAATATTTAAATAGAAATAAAACACTAATACAAAAATGCTATTTTGAAATTGTTGTACAGTATGATGTTTCCAATATTTGTCTATTAAAATTAAATATATGAACACAACCTTAAAAACAATGTTGATCTTCAGATTTCACCTCATTGATTGCATGCATGTTTATGTTTAACTGAGTATAGATACTTTTCTATATGCATGATGTTTGTATATATGATTATGTATATAACATTGTATATATATATGTAATTAATTATACCCATGAACACCAAAATAAAGGACACAAATATATAACTAATGATATTTTTCATATAAGTTAAATTTGAATGGGTTCTAATTGTCCAATGTTTGATATTTACATATATATCTATCTATATATATAGATAGATATAGATATATATACTACTGATTTTAAATATTTGGAAAAAATTATTGTCATCACTAACGTAGACTACTGAATATTGAAATAGTGCTTACTAACTTGTAAGGAAATAGAAGACCAGGTGCCTATATGGTTCTGGCTTGGATACTTTCTCTGATCAACCCCATATGTGTGTGTGTGTGTGTGTGTGTGTGTGTGTGTGTGTGTGTGTGTGTGTTTGAAAGTGTGTTCCTTAACATATACTGATCATTTGCTAACACTGAGGACATGTACTATAACACCGTGATTAATGCCTGGACATAGTTTACCTCTAGGTGTATCACAGCCTTTTATTTGAAACTTAGGATCATTCTAGACAATGACTTATGTGAAAAACTTTAGGTCCATGCACATCCCCTGACAATATCTTTGCAAGTATGTGCCTACAGAAGACTGCTGAATGCCTTGATTTCAGATTTAAAGCTTATGATTGATTTCTACATAGATGAATATACAACTATACACGCCACAACTATGAATCATTAAATAGTAAATTTCTTTTTTTTTAATTTTTTTTTAATTTTATTTTTTTCTTATCAGTTACATTTTATTAACTCTGTATCCCAGCCGTGTCCCGATCCAGTCCCTCCCTCCCTCCCTCATCTCCACCCTGCCCCTTGCCAAGTCCACTGATAGGGGGAACCTCCTCCCCATTCATCCAATCCTGTTTTATCAGGTATCTTCAGGACTGGCTGCAAAGCTCTCCTCTGTGGCCTAACAGGACTGCTCCTCCCTTGGGGGGTGGGGAGGCCAAAGAGCCAGTCATTGAGTTCCTGTTAGAAATAGTCCTTGTTCCCCTCACTATGGGAAACCAATTGGTTACTGAACTACCACAGGCTACATCTGAGCAGAGGTTCTAGGTTACATTCATACATGGTCCTTGGTTGCATGTCAGTCTCAGAAAAGACCCTGTGCCCAGATATGTTTGGTCCTTGTGGAGCTCCTATCCTTTCCTCATCAGACTAACTCCCCTTCTTTCTTATGATTCCCTGTACTCTGCCAAAGGTTTGGTCATGAGTCTTTGCTTTGAAAACACTGCTAGTTAGATTTCTTACAGCAAAATAATAGTGCAAACACAATCCAGATGAAAACAAACCTCTACTGCAGTAATAATTACCAGACGTAGGAGCCAGAATCCAATAATGCATGCTATACCTTTCTATGCATATAATGTCCAAAATCTGGCAATTAAATGGTAACAAAAATATATGGAATTATATATTTTGGTAGAATGTATTATGACGGAATAATAAAGATATAATTATTTCAATATCATGTTCATAAGGACATTCGATCTTGACTTACAGTTCTCTGAGTGTTGAACTTGAAGTTGAAAACCCTCTACAGTCAGAATTGTGCCAGAATGTACCTTTCTCTGTTGCACATGATCTTGTTATATCCTAGCATTTCATAGCTACAATAGAGACTTAAAAATAATATGATTTATGTGATAATTGCATAGCGTTTGGCCATTTTATTATTCATTATTTCTATTAATTTTTAATTTGACATCATTGTTTGAAGGCAAAATTCTATGAATAATAAGTGATATTGGCTTTTTCCACTTTTGAATATCTAGTAGAAAATATATATTCAGTAAGTGTCAGTCTCTACTGAAATCTCAAGATCAGCCTGATTAGTCTCAGCTCATACATCTAATTTAAAAATTCTGGAAAAGAGTCCTCGTCATTTATAACCAAAAGTCTCTAATTTATACTGGCCTATCTCAGAGTAAATCAAAGTAAAACCACCATTGTCAAAATTCAACAGCCTCCAAATCATATGCAAATGCACTGTAACATATAGGTTATTTGTTCTCATAATAGGTAAGGAGCCATTAAATTGGATCTCCATAATAAATGTGTAACCCTAGAAACTTTCGAATTTTCTAGTTGAATACCTGTTCATAATTTTATTCAGATTTCACTATTTCTTCTCATATCGGAACCTGAATCATTAGACTCAATGTCATCTGAGAACTTAAAAGTCACCAGAGCCTTATATTAGAACTGATGCCATTCATTTATTTCTAATTAGCACATCTTACAGTAGCAATCGATCCATGACTATCACACGAGCAGATGAATGTTTGGATGGATGGATGGATGGATGGATGGATGGATGGATGGACAGATGGATGAAATAATATGAAGTTGTTAATGGCACAATTACTTATTATTATTATTTACTTCTTGGCATTTTTTGTTCTTTAAGATAGGAATCAAGAAATGTGGGTCAATTTCATAAAAACATTGACTACAAAATGTATTTATACATACAAAGGGTGGTTAGGCATTACTTTCTCTAAGGCACTTTGATAGATAATGTTCTTATGTCATGGTCGGCAGTGAATGCTTTACCTGCATGGTTTTATTTTAGTTTCAATGTAACTCTAAATTGCATATAGTCATCATTCCCACATAAAAGTAATATGCATTTCATAATGCTAGTTTAAGATTACATTTTTTTTGCTGTACTAAGGCCAGTGATCTTAGTGGTCCTGGTCCAAATTGTGGACCCAGATAAATACTCTAGAAATAATAAATCATGTATATATATTTTAATTTTGAATTTAAACAAACTGACACAGACCATAGTCTTGGAAGGAGTAAAAGCTCCAACATGGTTCATACTGGAAGCATTAGGTAACCATATTGTGAATCAGTGTCCGTGGAAAGTTTTAATAAACGCTGGTTTGTGTATCATTGACCTACAGGCCTGTTTTATTACTTATATAATCTAATAATATTTCTTAACATTTGGAGTTTTGTGATAAATATTACTATTGTTTCAGTTTTTATTAAGATACTAACTAGAGATATCTTAATTGGTTTAAAAACAGATTTTTTAGGTAGAATAGAAGAAGAATAAAACAAAACAGGCAATTAGTCAAGTGAATATTGTGAGACTTAAATTCAAATATTACAAAATAAAAGATGTATGGAATTTTTCACCTACTTTAGTAGATGCAAAAAGAAAAAAGAGATAGAGAAAAACTCTTAGAAGATATCAATGTTTTTTGTCATCCAAGTAATGAAACAAATTTATAATGACAATCAAATTTCAGTAGACAACTTAGGAGATACTCTAAGATTAAAGCAAATATCTATTTTATGTTTCATTGTCAAAAGCAGCCATCAGTCATACCTGAACAACTTTTTGGGACTGTACATCAACAATCAAGACTCTATCCAAAGTTGGCTGAGCGACATAAATGAACTTGTCTTTGACATTAACAGCAGAAGCCCACACACATCTCTGCACTTCATCCTCTTCCGCTTTCGGACAGACTTCATCCTGTATTTTAGAAAGCAGAAAAGCAAATTGACATCCTAAAACATAGCATGGTAAGGGCAGTGTCCTGAATAGAATTAATGTTTGGTGATTGAGTACACTCAACAAGAAATGTCAAATGTGCAAAATAAAAAGTAATGTAGAGCAAATTTAAGTTCCTGACTTATGTACAGAAGCCAGTGCAAATGATATTTCTATAACATGGTTCCAGATCTCAATATTAAGTGAGGGAACAGAAAAGAAACAACTGCAATAACTCCTGACAATTAGGGGGAAGGTTATTATTGTACATAAGAGAGAGAAATTATCCAGAGGCATGTAGAAGAGTCCAGAGCATAGAGAGAAGCAGAATCGATATGGCCAACTCTACGGAACAAGAATTGTAGAGATCACGTCAGAGCAAGTCCCTAGCTCTTTGACTGCCTCCCCTAGATGGACGAGCAGCCTTGCCAGGCCACTGAGGACAATACAGCCAGTTCTGATGACACCAGATAAGCTAGGGTCAGATGGAAGGGAAGTAGAACCTCCCCTATCCGTGGACTTGGAGAGGGGCATAGGAAGAGATGAGTGAGGGTGGGGAGGATTGGGAGGAGAGAAAGGAGGGGACTACAGCTGGGATACAAAGTGAATAAACTGTAATAAATATAAAAAATAAAAATTAAGAAAAAAGAATTGTTGAGAATAGCTAGAAAGAAAATAGTAATAGCTAAGGCAAGAGAAAATACCTTGACATTATATAGAGAATGAATACAGGCTATCAGGGACCCTGGAAGCCTGTGAATTACAATAATCTGGATGATGATTACGGGATGAGGCAGGGCTGGAGCCGAGCATGAATTTTGATATGCTGAAAGGCACCACAGGTTTATGCCAATAGAGTAATGGTTTCCTACTGCCAGAGACAAGGGAAATGACTTCTCTTGGCAGGCTGGCACCTGCTTCACAATGTCTGAGGATTGCTAGCTTTTATCTAACTGCCATAAATTTTTCTACAATCCAGCTTTAGTTGAGCCTTGACTCAATTCTGGACCAAGTCAGAAGGCCTGATTTTTGTGGAGGTGTTTGCATACCCTTTGGATCTGATATCAGTTACTGATATAAAAGAAATCAGCTACTGATTTTTTTCTGGTGAAATGCAAACCTTTTCCATTTTTACCACTTATTTACTAACTCAACAGTTTAACAAAAACATAATAAATTTAATTTTCTCCCAAGACCTCCCAGTGTAAACAGTCTTTAACAGAACAAACATAATTCAAAATTATATTCAGTTTCTTTCTCTACTTTTTATTTTTATTGAAAATAGATTTTTTTTCTCATACAATACATCCCAACCAGTTTCTTCTCACTCTGCTTCTCCTAGCTTCCTACAACTCCCCTCTCTCCTAGATCCACTGTCCCTCTGTTTCTTCCTCAGAAAAGAGGAGACCTCAAAGAGATGACAGTGAAACAAAACAAAACAAAATATAATGAGTCAAGGCAAAAGCCTTCATATCAAGGCTGGACAAGGCAAACCAATAGAAGAAATGAGTATCAAGAGCAGGCAAAAAATAAATAAATAAATAAATAAAGAAAGAAAGAAAGAAAGAAAGAAAGAAAGAAAGAAAGAAAGAAAGAAAGAAAGAAAGAA